ATGCCGCATACGCTACGTTATAGGGTAGTTATTGGAAAAGTTAGTGATAGCCCGTGATAGTGGTGGTTTGATGGAACTGGGATAGTATCATTATTTTTTTTGTTAGAAGGTGCCAAGCGTGCTGGTGGTTCTCCCGATGTTAACTGATCATTGCCGCCGATTGACATTTGCACCACCGTTACTGTTGCAGACGTCTTGCCACCTTATATTAAAGAGAGCCCCAGCCATCTCACCAGACGCAACGCAGAAGTAGAACACTTCCACTTCACGCCGGTCTTTTGTGAGGTGGTGGTACTTAACCGGACGGCACTGCCCATTCGTACTACAGCGAAGGCTGTTGCGTCACCACAGTCAGGTCATAGGTTCGAATGTTAGCGGATGAATCAATTTAAATCTTTTTTAATTATTTGTTTAAAAGTTACTTACAGCGGACACGCTTGGTAGAATATAGATACGAATAGTCATAAGCGTAAGATGTCAAAATCAAAGGGTGTGAAATGTATGTATTCTAACTGTTTGTATTTATTACTAGCTTATTATTAATTATTGTTACTATCAACATTTTTTTGTTTGTCTTTTAAAACTAACATTAAGGAATATAATGTTAGGAACTTTAAGGAAAAAACTAAAATGTGCATTAAAATGATGTGCGCGTAATCGAAAACATATTGTAAGTGTTGTTTTCTCATATATAAAAAATTACTTATAAATGTATGTAGCACTCATTTTGCATCTTAATAGAGTAGAAAGAGTTTACAAGACCTTCTCTTCTCATTAAGTCAGTAAAGAAGCTGCTCATTTTAGTATTATAAGACAATTAAAACTAAGCATCAGCGAAGATAATAAAAATCAGGCAAGTGCGAGTCGAACTCTTACGCCGAAGGTTCCGTACCCACCCACTATACCGCCATAATAAAATCACCACCGATTGTCCGATTGTCCGATTGTCTGGACCGAGCAAGTTCAAATTTATACCAGATCCTGAGATCTACGTTATGAGTCAACACGATAACATGATATGGATACCTAAGTACCAAAATTTACCTTAGTTTTCATCATTTTTATTTTTCGGAATTTTTACTTTATTTGAGGTGTAAGACACGAAGGCTCTTATGTTGCAGATTCGAAACTCATTGGCGCGTATTTTTTTAGGCGTTTGCGAAGCCTGATGTAATGGAAAAACTGCAAAACTTGACGATACACCGTAACCTCAATTTAATTCTTAATATGTAACGCTGTTGATGATTTGTATGTTGTTTGTACCTATAATTGGAGTAGCACCAATCTTGTGTTTTGGTTTCTTTTATTTTTATTAACTGTGATGGTGTCTACTGTGTTGGTGCAACTAATAAATAAATAAATAAATAAACGTATCACAAAAAACTTGTATATCGGCAAAACAGAGCTGCCAATTCGCGTCATACGAGTAGTCGCGTCATATGATGGCTCGAGCGCGCAATAAAACCGTACAGTGCTATTAGTGCAACAGCAATATCATCGGCCAATATATAATGTGTCGTATGTTATGACACACAGAAGTCGACTGTAGCAATAAACCCGTTTGTCCATACGCGCGACGCAATAAACGCCACCCGCCGCCAAACTGGACGCACCATTGACGCAGCATTCGCTTTTAAAATGTTATTGTGTTAAAGTACCAGCCTATACATATCCCACTGCTGGGCAAAGGCCTCCTCTATACAGAGGGTGTCAGGGCATAGTCCACCACGCGGCCCCACTGCGGATTGGTGGACTTCACATATCTTCGAAATATATATTTTTTTGTTATTATTTCGAAAATATGCAGGTTTCCTCACGATGTTTTCCTTCACCGCGGAGCACGTGATAAGTCAGCACTTAAAGTTAAAAATTTCATTGGTGCCGTGCCGGCAACGATTGCAATATTTCATGAAAAATCATTTTTTTTTAAATTATCCAAAATATTCTGTCCAGGATTTTTTAGGCAACCCAGTTTTAATATATTTTCTAATATACTAAATTTATTATAAAATAAATTTTATTCTATTATCAGCTCGGTGAAGGTCGATTTAGATTCGGATCTTCTACTATATTGTATAACAAATACATTTGTCTTAACAAAAATAAAGCCGACTCCAAATATCTCAATCAATATAAATTTTCTATTTTGAGGAGTTTTCTTATGTATTTCCAGAATTCAAGGGCCAATACCAATAAAATTATGTACTTATACAGGAAGGCTTCTCTAAGTGTATCCATTTTTTTTATTAAATTCTAAACATAAATAATGTTATATAAAAATGGTAAATATTTAAAATCACTCGTAATTAATTAATTACATTCATTTGAACTTATCTCAAAAAGTGTGTGATTTATGGGCAACTGATTTATTTTACGCGCGATCATTCATAACTAACACGCACACAATTTCTTTTCAACAGTATACGACACATTTATGAATGACTCCCGCATTGTCAACAAGTTCTGTTTTTTAGGGAATAGAAGTGCAATTTTTTTTGAAAAAAAAGTTTGTTTTTATTTCAATAAACGATTATATTACCGAGTCTGAACCTCCTATGTGAATTTGGGCACCTTTAAAAAAGCCACCCTGTATATGCAATGCCAAAATAATTAAGTTATACTTTTTTAGCGTAAAAAAGGAAAAATAAATAAAATTTATCCCCAGTAATTATTGTTTGTGAAAAAGACATTGAGTGCGATTGATAACGGTTTAATTAGTTTAGTTGTTCACCCGGAATTATAGGTTAACGTCCAAAAGTTGTTATTGGTTGCCATGGTATAAAATGTCCTGAAGTTGGTCGAAGTTTTTGCAACCCATTTCATTATGTCGCTCTTTGGCGGTATGCGTGCGAATCGTAAAAATCTTACTCTAATAATTTTTTCCAAACGCGCCAAAACTAGAATAACTTCACATTGTACAACATCCTCCTTTTTTGTGGTCGGTTGAAAATATGTCGTTTCACAGACGGAGTCGCGGGCGCCGCTTGTCATTAATAAATCACAGTTAGCTTAATGTATGCAAATGTATTAAAACCGTCCTCGCAGTGTAGCACAAGCATTACCTCGTTCCACGTGTTATTTCTGTACTTAGGAGCCAGAAGGTTGGGGAATTGAATTAAGATATAATGAGCGTAGAGTTTGTTCAGTATAGCCTCCCTTTGGAGTAGTTCAAAATTTATAACTGGTTTTTAATAGAACAATTGGTAGTAGCCGATTTGGCATCGTGGTTAAGTTATTGGCTTGCGTCATGCTGGTCCTGAGTTTAATTTATCCATAAGCATTGAATAAAATTAATACATCGTCGTTCTTTTGTATATTTCTTTTTATTATTTGTCCGAAATTTGTTCAACCACTTATTTAATAAATGGGGATCTAATAACTTATTTATTTCAGATAAAGTTTTTGGTATATTTGAACGTTAAGTATGTAACTTTTCTTTATCACATTATGTTGATACAGTTTCGCAACTTTGCCCGTGTCATTTTGTCGTTCTCGCGGGAATGGAAATTCTGAATAGGCTACCACGTATACCTTGATCATGAGAATGAATATAAAGATTTTCGCCTAACGTTTAGGTACCATAAAGGTAACAGCATAATAATATAATGAAGAATATTTTTTATGTGATGATAGTAGTAAACGAAACCGATTATTCATGGTTACTTACAAGAAATGTAGTTTATTTCAGAATACGTAATTATTCGTAATAATTTGGTAATACGAAAACAGTTGTATTCATTTATATCAAGTTTAGATAGTCGGTAACATCACAAGTGAGTTACGTATCACTTTACCTCATGCACTAATATGAGTCGGTGTTCATTAATAAATACGGAAAACGTGAAGTTCAATTCGTTGGCTGCAATTACCCTCGACCCAAGATCAGACCAAAGTCCGATGTATTATTACTAAACCAAGACGATTAATATGGCTTGACACTCAGTGCCGTATATTTATTCTACAATATTGACATGTGTGTTATATTATGCATTTTTATGTTTATGTTGTCGGATATGTTGTGTCACTAAATTAACAATAATTCCTCGAGAAGAACAACCATGCTGATTCACTTTTCACCTCTACCATCTTCGAATGATCCCTTGTAATCACGAGTTCCTTACAACATTGTTAGGCCGGTAAAGTTCTTTCCTCACAATGTTTGCATAGCGACTTTCGTGGAGGCACCAATTTGGGTCAATTTCGCTGGCACGTCCCGGGGCGTCCCCGATTCGGGATGAACTTTTATCGGTCCACCCCTCCCGCGCCTCAGATCCGTGCGGTCTGTGTGTTTACAAGTCGTGTGCATTTATACGTGCCCATGAATCCTTATTAGGGCAGTACGACCCGGTCGTTTAAGTTTTCGGATTTGATCCCGTGCCCAAACTAGCCGTGGGTACGTACGGCCCCGTGCGTACGTACGGCCTTGATATGAGGGTAAAGTTTTAAAGTCTAAAGTTTGAATGAAAATTTTTGGCCACGTGCGCGGTCATTCATTTGGTATATTGCCTAGTCTTTATGTATATAATTTTTCTGCACGTGTGTATGTCACTGAACTCCTCCTAAAGTTGAAATGAGATTTTAATGAATTTTTTTGTGTGTCTTCAGGTCGATTCGAGAATGGCTTAGATTCTATTCGGTCCACTAAATTTTTTTATAAGTTCTTGTCGGATTTAAATCATGTGTACAGGCAACGTCTGTCCGCTAGTATAATATACATAAATACAATAAACATTTCGGGACATATTTTTATACAACATTATCTAGTCCCAAACTAACAAAGCTTGTACTATGATACTAGGTAACTGAAAAACATACTTAAACGTACTTTTCATTTCTAAATAATTACAGATATGTAAAAACCCAGAGACTAGTGGTTCATCTCACAATATTTTTTGAGTAGTGGCGATTGAACCCAGACAGGGTGCTCTATCCACTACACCTATGGGGTCGTTATGCTGCAACAGCATAACGATCCCATAGCAGCCTCGGCTGTTGCACAAATGGGCAGGCTCGTCCGGGTAAGTACCACGACCTCACGGAAGACCGGCGTAAAATCGAAGTATAATACTTTTGCGTTTCGTCTGGTGAGCGAGGTGGCCGGAGCCCAATTTTCAAAAGGTTGTCAACACAACTGCAACTCTCGGGTGTAGCAGATGTCCATGGGTTGGCAACTTTGCTCGTTTGGCAACTTTTCACATAAAAAAAAGCTTTTAGTTAGGGTTCGTTTCGCCGAAATTAGACTTGGTTTAGTAACTGGAGCGTCAAACTAGTGAATCACTGTAAAACGTGTGAATTCTATGTGGAAAATTCACTGTAACAAAGTTGTGAAATATGCTTGGGGATGTGTGGACAATATATATTCCTGTCCACCCTGTAAGGGCCAAACCAAAATTTGTTATTTTGTACATAATTATGAGCTAGGTAACTTAGGGTCAGATAAAGCCATTCTATTATCTCAACCAATTAGCATGCCTAAGAATTATAACCGTTCAGCGGCGAGTCAACAGTGGGAGCCTCAAGAAACGCATCCCCCTTGCGACCTCGTACGGGCTGATTCCTAAACAAACAGAGGCTTCCTTATCGTCGCTCCATTTTAAAATTGCGGATCCCGGCACCGGTTTTAATAAGGGCCGCCCCGTGTTTGCCCTGCCGCACGGAACCTCTCAATTTCGCGCCCGCTCCGCCCATGAGCTGCGCAAATAGTTGCCGTACGCGCAACGCTTTATCTCGACGGCCAAGGTGCAAACCGACAGCGGGCGTTGCGCTGAAATGAAATTAGGCTCAGTTGACGGTCGTTTGGTGCCGTGAACTGTTCAAACGTTGCGTTTGATTGTTACCGACCTCTGAGATAGCGGCGTCACCGCGTCGGATCCTCCGCATTAGCGTCATCAGTTACTGAGACATCGGAAATGCAAATATCTGTGTTGTTTCACGCGATACACCTTCGTCCGCATGTGACTCTGTTTTTTGTAAAGAAATACTTAACGGAATAAATATTTCTTACTAGTAACATGGAAAATTATGATTCGTCATGTAAATTATTATGTTTGAAATTGAATTGAATTTTTTTTACTTTTATAAACTGTCAATGTTCATTTGTACGTACATTGTGCGCCACAGTTAGAACTTGCATCTAGTTAATGTGTAATGTCAGGTCAGCTAATACGTTAAGACGTTTAGGACTAGTAATATAAACGACAATGTCTTAATAACAGCGCTCCAGGCTGGCAGTACTATGACAGATTAAATTAACCAAAATCTACATGTTATGAACCTCTTGACTTGTTATTATGTCTCAGACCCTCGTGTAGTAATCGGCTGTCGTGAGCATATTCATCACACACGATCTCCTTCTTGACGTGTGGGCCCATGTATATTGCGAGTTATAATGAATGGACCTTCTAAGAAGGTAACGATCCTAATCGTTCTCGAATGATCCGAGAGTCGTGACGCAGGCTCTGTGAATTGAGACCCTCAGGGATAGTTAATTTATTCTTAAACTCGTACAATACACGACGCAGGAATTACATTTTTTTATATTAACTGATGTTAATGCTTTCAGTCCCGAGACTATTAAAGCTTCATCGAACGCAGAACCAGTGGGCTTGCTAGAACCCACGGGTTAGAGGCCCTACACGGTTGGTATGGCCAGGGAATTATTGGAACTTCCCTTGCTTTTGAATCCGGAAGTTAATAACAGTACGGTATTTTAATTATCAAAGAAAAAGAAAATAACCAATCAATACCTACAATCTATCACTCAGAGTTATTCAATGCACTTTACTGGGCTTAATATTATACTATTTGGCCCAAATCGTGCACAAAAGGTTAACCAGTCATCTTGCCATTCATACACATGTTCACGTTTATTGTTTACTTAAAAAAAATCTTTGGTGCAAACAACAGTGATTCGAACTCCCAAGCGGATATCGCAAGTTTGATGTCACTAGGACATTAGTCATCTACATTAATCCATACACAAAAATTCAACACGTTAAAGCCACTGACTTATTTATTTCTTTTATATACACGCTATTAAGTTTAAAGGACATTTTCATAACTTTAAATATTAGCTAGAATAAAAAATGAATTTGAAGCACACTTCTTTTCCTCCAAAAGAGTTAAAAAATAGAGAGGGCATTGCTATTGAATATTAAAATGGCGATCGCTTCATAAGCCTGGGTGTTTATGGATTTGAAGTATTTTATGCTTTTAATAGCACAGAATAAATCTCTGTATCTTCTGACTACGAGGAGTAACTTGATCTTTTATTGACAAAAATAAAAATTATCCGTCGTCTTAATGCTACAGATTATATAATTTTAACTAAAACCTTTTTTTTTATTTAAAACAAAGTTCACTAATGAAGTCGACCGTGAGTTATATTGCGTTAATGGAGTCGAAAAATAAATGCCTATTCCTCCCTAATTTATTAATAAAAAGGCTTTGAAGTTTCCCTTCAGAATATCGACTTATAAATTGGACTTGGCAGATTGGTTGAGTTTAGTTGGAAAGTGAAAAAAATCGCTATCGACTTTAAATCTCTTCCAATCTTCAGACTCGTCGCGGATCTCGTTTTGATGGCCGTCGATTTATGTAAAAATGGAAGTTTCTTCGGCTTATTTTCGTAAAGCTTTGGCGAAATTCAAATTACTTCGCGCCGCGAGTTAAGAGATTATGTTAAACATACTACGTTATAATGGAACGAGTAAACAAATACTTGCACATTTTTTTGTTTAATATGAGTTAGAATTGCATAAGATATCTTTTACCACACATACCACCTTGTAATTCTAATGAATTGTATAATTACAATGCAAATCTTTTTTCATGCTTTTGCGAATGTAATTCTTTTTGAGAACAAATACACTATTTCCCAAACCTATGCATTTGTACATTTTACGATTTTAAAAAGAGTTTCTCTTGGTCGTTACGTTTATTAATAAAAAAGACTTATGGTGGATCTTCAATGAATATCGCAAACCTCTGGATCCTCTGTAAGAATTTAACGTGTACAACGAGATAATGCAATTTTACACGGCCAAGAAAACAGTTTAAAAACATTTACATAATTTAAATTTTACTCATTGTGATTTATTTATGACTAGCTTTGCCCGCGACTTCGTCCGCGTGGAATTTAAAATAAAAAAATTCTAAAATAAAAGTAGCCTAAGTTACTCCTTATTACATCAGCTTATCCAAATCGGACAGACAGACAGACAGACAAAAATTGTAAAAAATGTTATTTTGGTATATGTATCGTGTATACATCCATATGCATTTAATTAAAATCGGTTATTTTAATATTACAAACAGACACTCAGATTTTATTTATCTCTATAGACTAGCGACTGACTAACCTGAAAATCTGTTTGTATAAATTACGGTTCAAAATTTTACCACTCCAGGATGTAATAACATAATTTTCATCTATTGCTGAGCAGTTATTATTAAATTTATCAAAGCCCAGCTGTTTTGGGCACACTGGTCATGAATGACAGGATTGAAAAAACTGTCAGTACAAGTGAATGTTCAAGAAGAATTTGAAATGAAATGCTTGTGTGTCGTCTCCTACATAAAACAGATGGAAAGAATAAAGGAAGTGTGTTGAAGACAATTTACGGTACGAAAAAGAGTTAGAAAGTCCAATGAAGGTATTCATGGAGAACGGTGGTAGGGCCACGCAGCAACCTCGGATGTTGCACGAATGGGCAGACTCGTCCAGGTAAGTACCACGACCTCACAGAAGACCGGCGTAAAGTGGAAGTATAATACTTTCGCGTTTCGTCTGGTGTGTGAGGTGATCGGAGCCCAATTTTCAAAAGGTTGTCAACGCATCTGGAACCCTCGGGTGTAGCAGATGTCCATGGGCGGCGGTATTCACTTAACATCAGGTGAACCGTCGACTCGCTTGGCAACTTTTCACATAAAAAAAAAAACAGAGATTTACAGATATTGAGAGACATCTAGGCAGCAGGTGGGGAGAAATAAAAGCATTTTGTACCTGACATTGATTTATGCGTAATGTTTTAGAAATGGGCAACTTATTAACCTTCCAGATGGTAGTGAATAAGTAGGAATGCTATTGACAGATTAGAGAATTAATAATATAGTGGCGCAATTGCGGAGGTATTGCTTTCGGCGTCGGAGGTTGCGGGTTCTATTCCCACACGGGAGAACTATTTGTGTTACCCACAGATAGTTGTTTCGCATCTGGGTGTTTGTCCACGTGAAATTTATGTTTGTAAAACGCACTTACAACACAGGACAACGTTATCCTAAAGTAAGGGCAACGTTAAAAAAAAACAGAAATAGACTTTCCTGAACGCAGAGCCGTGATAGCTCAGTGTCCGGGCGCTCGCCTTAATTCAATATACTCGAGCAACCTGAGTTCGATCCCCGGTGCCGGCACCAATGAAGTTTTTAACTTTAAGTGCTGACTTATCACGTGCTCCGCGGTGAAGGAAAACATCGTGAGGAAACCTGCATATTTTCGAAATAATAAGAAAAAAAAATATTTTTCGAAGATATGTGAAGTCCGCCAATCCGCAGTGGGGCCGCGTGGTGGACTATGCCCTGATACCCTCTGTACAGAGGAGGCCTTTGCCCAGCAGTGGGACATATATAGGCTGTTACTTTACTAGACTTTCCTGTGGTAGGCTTCTTTTGCATGAATAGCGGGTGTCGGCGGAAGTACCACGGGTTCACAGAAGACCAGTGTGAAGTGTAAGCGTTAAAAATTCGCGTTTTATATGGAGAGTGAGGTCACCGGGCCAAGTTTAGGTTGTGAAAGCACCTGCAAGCCATCGTGTGTTGTATATATGTTGTTGTATTAATTTAAAATCAGATGAACCGCCTGCTAAAACGAGTAATAGTACATAGTAAAGTAACGAAAAATTTGACATGTACCGCGGTCAAGTTCATAGTGACAAACGGGTGTTCAAAGCGAATGATCAAAACCGCTGGGGATCTCGACAATATGTATTAAGCAAAGAATCCCTTAAATTGATATATTTGTGTGAACATACGTGGAAATTAAAGTAGCAAAGGAGGATATCGAAGGAAACCGAAGACGATATCTTTATCGCTTTAAAATTTCTGTATTTTAAAGTCTCAACAGTTAGACCACTATAACATGCTTGGTCACAAATAATAATCATTGTGTGCAAATCACTCTTTCATAAAAATTAAACCTACCTAACAAGCTTCCCAGTGTTTGAAGTATTTTTATCAACATTGTTACATCGTATTTTAAATAGTAGATGCGGTAAGGAAATCAATTACACGACTTTTTTTTTATAATAAGTGGGAGTACAAAGGCATGTTATTAGAGGGACAAGTTTATAGTTTCCATAAGAGGCGGCCTCCTCATAAAATAGCAGAAGGGGGTGGAGAGGGTTCGCGCTTTGTGGACGGTCCTCCGTGAACCCGAGCGAGAGCACTAAAAATCCTTTAATAAGAGAAACGTCTTCGTAGCTGTACCATTTTATTTGACACAAGCGACCACGCTTAATAAATCGTAAAAAAGTCCATGAGTCAATAATATCCAATAAATTAATCACAGTAACAGTAAATGATTTATTGCTTTGTTTTGTCTTCTCTATGACGAAAGGTCTGAAAACACTCAAAGTTGGAGTGGAGATGGAATTTAAGGTTTTTTTTATTTAGAAAAGATTCAATACAAAGATTTGTAGGTAATG